TCTTTTTGCTTTTGAAGCCCCCAGACTGAAACTCATTGGGGTAAGTAAAGGGTACAAGTATGAAGTGAGCTTGAAAATTTTTGTAAATTGGACTAGATGTAAGAATTGTTGTCTCGTGGCATATATCTATATCACAGAAATGCTCACTTAAGGAATTTGAGGTTTTTTGGAAGTATGAAGTGTTTTGGGAGGGTGATGTTGATAGTCTATAAGTTTGAGAGAGAAAGCTATTAGAAGTTCTGCAGAGAAAAATACTTTTTTTTTTTTTTGTCAGCAGTGCAGGTCCTGGGCGTTTTGAATAGCAGGTGCAACAGTTTTTTTAATCTGAAGAACCATCCCCAAAAGTTAGGTTTGCAAATGTCAGTAGGAACTGTGATCATAACTGTGTAAGCATTTTGAGTCCTGACCCAAAATGGCTACTTTAACTTTCCTATCTAGAATGTTTTCTCTTGCGTGCTTAATAATGCATAAGCAAGGCACTGATTTACTGTGCTTCCAGTAAGTGGAAACAGTTGTTTCTTCATACCTTGCGAAATAGACCTCGTTTACTTGTAGACATCCTTATAAATGTAGCAATCACTCTGGATGCAATATCATGATGGCTATGGGGCATTCTGCGGGTATTCCCAACGCGTAGCACTTCTGCTTGGAGATGCGCTGCTCTCTCTGGTGTATGGTGAGGGAACTTGCTTGCTGTAGTGGTCTACTGTAGCTTGCTTCTGTGTAGGAAGCGCTGAATAAAATGCCAGTTCAGTTATATCCATGTGAAGAGGATCTGAAATACATCTCCAGGCCTGGGTTTTCTCTTGTACAGTCACTGGGGTTCTGTCATTGAAAACCAGCAACAAGAATAGGGCTAAGGCTTGTGGCTTTGTCGCTTGCTTTTAACAGTAGAAAAGCATTAATGCTCACTGGATTAGTGTTATGAGAGCTAGATGGGGACCTCTTAGCAAGTGAGGTATTTTCATCAGCTTAATGACTTCAGGTGTTGTTTTGCAGAATTACTATGTGCAAACACTAAATAGACCATAAATAGCTTTTTTCAATAACTTGAAAATTCAAAAAATGGAATTCTGCTACCAAAGAGTCACCTGAATGTTTATTTGGGAAGTGGCTGATTCATGTCCCCACTGTCTAAATTGCTTTATTTGTATCAGGTGGACTGTAAAAGGTTCCAGTTTTCAAGATTTGTCTTTTTGATACACTATTTCTTTTGCTCACTTCTATTTTAATCCCAGTCATTTTTAACAGAATTATTGTATTTACATTTTAAAGAGGATTAGGCAGATGAGAAGATGTTTTCATGTTTTATTGATAACATTAGATTAATTTCCACTTTCCTAGTGGCAGCTTGCAGCTCTGTCAAAACACAGTCTGCAGAAATACTGTTAACAATTTCATAAGGCGATTGCCAGAAATACAGTTTTGACAATTAATTAGCAGCTTGATGACTAATGGGAACTGGAGTAGTTGGTGGTTAGTGGATGTATGGAAGAGATAGTAAGACCCGAGGACTAACGAGGCCAGCTCAAGTGAGCTAAGTTTTTCTTCATGACGATGTTCCTCAAAGAACGTCACTGGAAGAGATGTTATTGTGGAGGAGAGCATTGCCACAATCATTCTTGGTGTGCAGGATGAAGGCAAATATTCTTCAGCTCTCATTTATATCTATGCCAGTTTATTACCCCCAAAAGCACCACAACAGAGCTGTATCATGCTTGCAGCCTAAAGCTCTCCTTGTCGCAGCACTGAAACTGTCTCAGAAAATGGCTGGAGATTGTCACAGCCTCCAAACAATTGCTGAAAAAAACCCCAAAACCCAGACTCAAAATCAGGAAAATTTCTCCTTGAGCAACTGCAATGGGTTGTTCTTCAATAGAAGTGAGAACTGAACTCTGAGATGCTGTTGGAACTGAAACTAAAATAACTTCCAACATCAAGCATTTTGTAATGGCTTCGATCCTCTAGCCCTTAAGGCTTCATCTTTACCACACAAAATGAGAGTAAGCACAGTGCTTTTCTAGGAACAAGTTTGGATGTGCTCTTCCACTTGTGGGATGAGGGAGGTCATGAATCACACAGAATCACAGAATGATGGAGGTTGGAAGGGACCTCTGGGGGTCATCTAGTCCAGCCCCCCTGCCAAAGCAGGGTCACCTACAGCAGGCTGCACAGGACCTTGTCCAGGTAGGTCTTGAATATCTCCAGAGAAGGAGACTCCACGACCTCTTTGGGCAGCCTGTTCCAGTGCACCGTCACCCTCAGAGGGAAGAAGTTCTTCCTCATGTTCAGACGGAACTTCCTCTGCTTCAGTTTGTGCCC